GGAAGCGATGCTTGGTGTTCGGGTGAAGCCACAGGAGACTCACGTAGCTAGCTTTAACCTGCATCACCAAGGCTCTGCAATAGGAAAGTCAAGGTCGTCCTGCGCAAGCACCGGGCTAGTGAGGCCAGCTTCGTTCGTCCCGAGACCTGGAACACCTACACTGCCTTTCCCTGCACGCCCCTGCTCGCCTTGCCAAAAGGATCTGCCAGCTCTCCTGACACAACTCCAAGTTTGCCGCCTCTGTGCTTACGTGCAACTAGCCGTCCCACCTGAAAGCTGTCGGAGAGCGAGCAACACGAAGGTTACCACTGAATACCTGTTCGGCACGTGTGGCCCCGTGGCCCCGTCCACTAAAGGTCAAATGAGGCTGGTCATCCAAGCGGCGGGAGGAAGGCCAGGCAGTAGGAAGGTGCGTCGTGTGCCTCCACGAGGATCAAGCATCCGATGCCTGCTTAGGGAACTCGCAGCTCAAACATGAAGCTGCTGCCCCTGTCAATCGTGACAATACTCGCAGGGTATAAACACCTGCTCAAAGATCCAGGAAATGTGCTTGGCGCAGCAAAACGCCAAGGCCCTCAAATTGACTTTGCAGTGCAGTACAGCATTTCCTCAGCACAGCACTCCCAGCCCGGACCCCGACGGCCCCATGCCTGTAGCAAAGACGGTCAAGGAGATCAGAATGTTGAGGAGATGGAAATACGAGAACGGGACCGGCATATTCTGTATACTCCTGCCCATGGTCATCCAAGTTGGTGACGGTCTGGGCACACGAGCGGGGATGTCCTGACCCGAAGAGCCGAAGAAGCCATGTTGTCGATCATGTTGTACATGCCTGTAGTCGGAGTGTCTCACCACAAGACCAAGTCACGACACCTCACCCTACCCATCTTCTGCCGGGCGACGATTCGACAGGGCCGACAGCTCCGGGGGAGTGTAGGTCTTCGCCCCGGCATTGGGCTGGCAGACACGATGGAGAGGCGCAGACAGGTACAGACTTGCATCAACAAACAGCTGTCAAGACAGTGTGTTGCAATTTTGTTGTCACCTGCCAACTGCAACAACAAGCATGATAGAAGTATGTGTTCTACAGACATCGATACAGATCCTGCCATAGCATGCACATGAAGCGGTGTACAGATATTTGTCGGAGGGGGCCAGGTTCACCGGCTTGGATTATCCAAGCGGCCCGAAGGATCCGCACTGCATCCTTGACGATGTAGCTGGACCAATGGAGCAGAAGCGTGAAAATGGTCCCTGGGTACTCGCGAACGGCGTCCTTTGCGATTTGCTGTTCATTTATGAAGAAAACCTCTCACAGAAGAACTGAACAGCGATAGGCCATGTCCTCGTCGGCCTGCGTCAGCAAGCCTTTTGATTGCAGTACTCGCCAGGTGTCTGTCCTTATCTTGCCGTGCTTGCTGTGCCAGAAATCTGTCAAGAGCTTCTTGCGGCCCATGGACATAGGCTCAATGTCCTCCATGGACAAGTAGAAATAGAAGATGCCAGCCATGGCATACCTGGACGGAGCTGAAGCCCCGTGCCACGAGGCCTTTAAGCGAACACCGGCTGTCAGCTGGAATGGACGCATCCTTACCCTAGCTCTCAACGAACCCATTTCTGCGGAGTCCAAGGTACTTGCTTGCTTGCACAATGTGGTTTGCAAGCTGTGGCTCGTCACCGAAGTGGATCACCAGCTCTGACACAAACTGCTTGGCACTCACGTCGATCTCCTCAGGTCATGAAACTCGGTACCCAGGGCTGTGTTTTTAGTCTACAGCGCAATCACTGTACAAAATGGCTGGATAAGAAACGTAGGCGCTATGGCAGCCGCATAGCACAAAATAACGAAACATCAAACGCCTTCTAGCTAAGAAATGAAGGGTACCCAACGTCTTTGAAGGCATTTCTTATTTGGCTGGGTATTCAGTTTCTCTTCGAGAACCACTAAAACAAGTCATAATTCGGTTTGTTTCCAGGTCCTAACCCTAGGGCCTGGTAATAAGAAGCACCTTCGGCAGAAGTCAGAATTAAAAAACGTACGGGGCCGCGTTTCTCATTTCGGTAGTTTCCACCGACGCGTCTGATTTTGGCTGCTGCCTTGTGCCCTTGGAAACCCACCAAAACAAGAAACTTGGTCCACTACTGTACTTATGTTGGTTTCTGCCTTGTTTCGTGGCAAGCTCTGGTAAACCAAAGGCTGATTTTCGCTACCAAATTCTGTTAATACAGGGTGCATTTCAGACTGGGGTGTTGGCCGACTTCGGATCCCCCTATTGACCCTATTGCGCCATGCTTACTTAGAAACACCAAAATAGGAAATGTAGCCTACATTTCTTATGTTGGCTTCTGCCCTGTGCCCTCGGCTTAGGGCTTGAAAACAACCGAAATGAGAAACGCAGCCCGCTGCATTTGTTTGCTTTGGCTGCTGCATATTGCCCTAGGCTTAGCCGTCTTGGCCGTGTCTGTTTAGGCTAATTAATGGTTGAAGCATTTGACTCAGCACCTAGATTTCCATGGGCTCGGGAACAGGCTAAGAAATGGGGTACCCAACGCTAAGAAATGGGGTACCCAACGATTCGGGAGCTGCAGCATGTGGAAATGTGTAACTAAAGGAATGTAAGAAATGAAGGATACCCAACGCTGGGAGCTGGCATTTCTTGTCCAGCAGATGCACTGTACTGTCTGCTCGGGGAACTCCGAAGCTGGAGAAGTGCACGGCACCCAGAAACTGCATAATGCTGCTACCTTCCAGCACAGCCCAATGCATAAGCGATCGCATGCTCGGTGGCGCACCACACACGTCTGGTACAAACCTGGGATGCAATGCTGCAAATCTGGACGGAGCAACAGAATATCCTCGTAGCGATGCTTCGTGTGGTGTTTCTGGAAGTTCCGATTGCAATGCATGCATCATTATGAACAGTACGTGAGCAAGTTGTGTGAAAAGGCACTTTTTCTGTTGAAGTCCTGCCGACATCTCAAGAGTGCACCCAACGCCTGCCCCACCAGCTCAGTACAGACTTTAATTTAAGGCAAGCAAGTACTAGACTGGTTTTGATGTCTTTGTCTGGTGGTGTATATCAGGACCCTAGCATCAGCATGGTCCATCCCAGCCTTTGCGAAAACACTGCTGTCTTAGGCGTGTATGCTAGGCCTGTGCCCATCATGCTTTTTCTTCGAACAGAGAATACCACAAATTCATATCTGGGGCCCATTCCAAGCTTCCTTAATTTCGTGAGGCAATTAATTAGTCGAAAGACCGTGGACTGCTTTACCCAAGCTCAATAGGCAACTGTACAACTGCCAGGCTGTCAAGGCAATGATCCTGGATACGATCGCACCCGCCCCCCCACCGCTCAAGAAAAAGCAATACCAGGCTGGGACACACTTTAATGGCACAGTGTCAGTCAACATGGGAAGATTTGGTAGATGTCTGTGTAGGCGTTGACGGTGCGCACCACGAATTCCGAGTGCAAGAGTGGAGAATGCCACGCCACTGACCCCAGAACACAGAACACCCTCGCGTCTGAAGTCTATCATGTCGAAAGAAGAAACATACACGTACATGCTAAGTAAGTGAACATCCGAACTTGACAGCGAATGCCAAGATGCTCATGTATCGCGAATAGCACTGGTTGTTGTAGAAGACTACTGCCTCAAGCAATCCACTCGTCTTCTTCTCATTCGCAAGTCCGAAGCTCGGAACGACTGTGATGTCCCGTCTTTGCGGCTTGCAGCATGACAGATCGGACGATATTTCAGAGACCAGGTGCGAAGATGGTAATTGACAGCTGAGGGCTGAGAAGCTTGAAGACGTCGAGGCCAGCAACACCTGTGGAGGAGCTGGCAGGGCAGCGTCGCGGCTAAGCAGAAAAGTGCTTGGAGCGGTCCTGCAGGCAAGTGGACGTAGCCGGTGTCCATGAGAAACATCACCTCAAGGAACGTGAAAGAGCCCCGCAGAGCCGCCGAGCTAAGGCGGCTAAGGCTGAGAGAGCCGGGAGCGAGCCGGGAGCGAGCCGGGAGCCGAACCCCCCCAGCTGCCGTCAGGTAGAGCCAGAACTCCGCCATCCCAAACACACTCGACCTAAGCAGAAACAGGAGTAACACAAAAGCGCTGCTTTGCCCCATAAAGCCGAGCCACGTCAAGGTGTAGTGCCATCGAAGCAGTGACCGCAAGGCGGATTCATGCGGGTAGTAGTATCTCGGAGCAGCAAGGCTGATTCTGTCATTGCCCGAAGCTCTTATAACAGCAAGCTGCAGCTAGCTTCGCTTCATGAAGCTACTCAAGCAAATCTGGCTTGTTGCACCGTTGCACCTACGGCTCCTTGCAACTCACGCTGCCTCACCATTTTGCCGGCTGGCCCAACGCAACCTCGCGAATGGAGTTCAAGCATTCCGGCTTCGTAAGATTGTGCGGCGTTCTCGGGACTGGGAGTTCGTTTGATAACAACCCTCCGCGCCGAGCTTTCGGAAGCTCCGACATGGCTTGAAGGCTGCCGCCGTCAGTCTGCATTCTGCCAGGAAGGACTGCAAGTTATCGACCAATAGCTGCTCACCGCCGTGTGCGAGCAGCATATCTGCACACGTGTGTCTACCCAGGACCCCCTGACCATCCCTGACCCGTCCAACCAGTCGTGGGCCTCAAGGGAGAGCTCAAGCGGCAAAATGGGAGGCCAGCATCTTGCTGGCTGCCAGCCGAGCCATATCGGCTGCAGCGAAACACAAACCAAAGCTTGCAAGGAATCGCTCACCACGGCCTGTGGCTTGAAGGGTGCCGGCCTAGCATAGTTAACAAATAAGGAACGGATCTAATAACATTTCGATATGAGACATTGTTCTGCCTTATGCCATCCACCGGTTGAAAAGGACTTTACTGAAGAGGCCGAGCATGAAATTGATGGTGTGCTGCCAAGTGCTTCAAGAGGACTGTGACAAGCGTTCGGCAAGTTTTGAAAACCCTCACCAAATGTCGTGGAGTCTCAAACCACGGCCAAGCCCACCTCTGTGGCTTCAATAACCACGCGCTTCGGGATCAACTGCTCCTTGCTGCATCAGCGTCGCCACTACGTCATGCACATCTTTATTTAGTCTAATCTGCAGCGTAAACACGGAAACCCTCAGGGCGGCTGCTGGGGCGTCGGCGCCATCGCTCAGGCAGGAGCCCAGACCCAGTCGCCCGCCAGCGGCATTGCCCCAGGTGAAGCAGGCTCCGCCTGCGCAGAGGACGAGTTGCTCTGTTGCCACTGGCGGGCTTCAGTCGCAAGGTCGCAAGGCGGTGTGCCTTCAATGAGGCAGGCAGAATGCTCCTGATCGCACGAAGGACGAGCACTGAGGCAGCAAGCTTGAAGCTCGACACGGACTGAAATAGAAATTAGGACCCTCAATGCTGCCCGGAACACATGAGCAAGCTCAAGCTCCAGACTGTCTAGACCCGCTCCTCCCCGGCTGCCACATGGAGAACGTCGGTTGGATTGGTGATGAACTGCGGGGTGTCGGCGGGCTGCGCAGGGTCAAAAACTGCTCCAGATGGGCAAGCCAACTCGAGAACGTTCTCCGCACAGCTTGTACAAGCAGTCACGCATTCACCGTGAATTCACAGTATGAGAGATGCAAGAGTTTCGCCAAAATCGGTGCAGGTGGCCGGCTGCGCTCGCAAAGGCACCGTTCATTCTGTCACTTCGCGACTGCTTCATGGGGAGAGAGGGGGGGCACCATCATGGATCCGGTGCCCAGCTGCCCTTTCGAACCGTTGCCCCAGGAGTACATCCTCAGCACGTCACGCTGTCACCATCAGCCGGAATCGGGGGATGGGCTTGGCAAGGCAAAGCCGGAGTGCACCAGCTTTGAAGACGTGCGCAAAGTGCCACCAGAAGCACAAGTTACATCCTGAGACCTCCGCAGGGAGTCCGCAGTCACAATGAGGCAGTGCTCGTAGCCCATGGCCACACTTCGGACCTGGGACGGAATCCCAAAACAAACACGGACGGCACAAGGCAGTGATCGCTACGAGTTGGCAACTCAGGCGGCCACGGTCCGATTCCGGACTCCAGTCTTCAGAGGCACTGCGAGCCAGCCTCATCGTGACGCTTCCAGCATCTGATGCTCTGTGACTGTGCGACCTGCGCTCATCAGCTGAGCATGGCGCAGTTCCCACCTTTGTCTACTGTCTGCACGGTCCCATCATCTTCCATCATCATTTCCTGCCGAGATCGACAGGTTGAATCAAGAGATCGCTTTCCGCTACAGCTGAAATCACAACCACCATTCTGAAGCCACAGCCTACACTACACTATACAAGAGGCCACAAACACTCAGCAAGTACCACACATCCAAGAACTTCTCAATAACCCATACCCAAAAGCGGACCACCCCAAAGTGATCCCGGCTGCTATAGCTGCTGCCGGCCAATTATAGCTCATCCTATTGCTTGGCCTCTAGTCTAGCCTGACGCGATAAACATACTATCGCATCGGCAGCTGTTATCTGCCTTTTCAGAATTTGACACTGACTCGCATTGCTGCCGACTGCTGCGTCCAGCTCGGTTCGATCACCCACAGATGCGATCCTCGGCTCCGACACGGCTTAAGCAGATCAGGAACAGGGATAAGGACAAATCTAACACGGATACATCCGCACTGAATCAACACAGCGTCTATATGATGTATGCAGACATGTGTGTGTGTGTGTGTGTGTGTGAGGTGTGTAAGAAAGTAAGAAAATAAGTAGGTATATGTGCGTGCAAGTGCTGCCATGTAGAGCCAGGGATCTCCTGGCTGCCCCAAAGCCACAAGTTCTCGTAGGGCATGCCACCTGGAGGAACCTCTCCTGTTCCTGGACACACAAGTATAGGAGCAGTAAGTCGTCTCCGAAATTGCCCATGCCATCTGCCGCAGTGCATGACTGTACTTGAACCTCCTGGTGCAAGAACTGTTGTACCGCATTTGCATCTCTGTTCGTTGCGCTCCTGCTGAGATTTGCTGTGCATATCCAGCTGAGCGAAAACCAACGCATTCATCACTGCCGCGTTCAGGTGAGAACCCCAGGCCTCTGCATGTACTTGCATGGTTTCAAAGCTCTTCATCATGGCCAAAAGGATCTTACCTCAAAGACTAACCTAGAGCCGCATGGCCTGCCCTTCGGGCAGGACATTGCGAAGTTGTACACCACCGGAAAAGGGTGGTGAAAATGCTAGATACATCAAGCCTTACGCCTTACGCGCGATCCAGCACGGCCGTGGCCAGTGCCAACTGCTCTCACTGTCTCAGATCATCTAGAAGCTTGCAGAAATTCAAGGAACCATGTGCCTCAAGTTAGGGAATTCGGAGTCTGCAGCTCTTCGTTTGGCATAGACCGGGCTGCTTATCGGCTCTCTTCATGAGGCACTTGGAACCGCGGGGACAAAATTGACTGAGTGGCCCGGCCAGTCGACTTCCAAGCGTGATAGCGATGCTCTACACTTTTCTAGCTCTTTCTTCCTTTACAAGTCACCAGTCCTTTATGGGGACTCGAGAAGGAACTAGTAGGCTAAGCACTCCATCCCTGAACTGCATGCTGCATGCTTCATTGCATGTGCTGGTACAAGTGAGATCAACGGCGAGTAGATCCCAGCTCATATTCCGGCTATTCAGCCGCTTGCACCGTCGCACTGGCACCCTTCACGGGCCAGTGCAGCAAAAAGTTGATCTCTCGGTGGGTTTGGCGATCTTCGCATCTGCACCTGCTCAGGTTCTGCACAATTGAAAACAGCGGCTTCAAAAATCCACTGACCGCGAGCCTCCTCGGCTGCAGCATCATGCATCCTCGACCGATAGATCAAGGCCTTGGCTCAAGTTCACGGACTGTGGTGCATGGACCAGTAAATCCTGGGCTAGTTCATCCACCATTTCAGCCAGTCGAGGCATTGATTCGATTCGAAGGGTACACGGGAGCCTACGCGACGCTGCAGCCAGGGGGCCCGCCGCAGCAGCGATCGCTGGTGTACGAAAGTCTGATGCATTGAGGCGAGGAGGCAATGGCACCTGACTGGTTGGCTGCCTCGGGAAGATGAACAGAGTGCCGCCGGAATCAGTGTCGACACTCTCAGCACTGACGAAGCTCACGTCTCGCCGTGAATGATCTCGTCCCCCTACCATTCAATCTCCCGTCCTTTTCCGTGAAAAATGGTTGTCCTTTGTGTGGTGGTGGCTTTCAATCTTCCCATTGCTCAGTGCTTTGTTCTAAACCTTGGCAGGCCGACCCTGCAGTTCTGCCTGCGGTTGCTGCAGCCCGCAGTTCCCGGGCCCTGGATGCAGTCCTACGTTCTTGCATTCCTAGAAGAAACCTAATCTCTGAGACAGAAGGGAACTCAACTCGCAGGTTCCAGTATACACTCGCTCTTACAACCGTAAGGTTTCGGATGCTGGGAGAATCCCGAAACCTAAATTCGGCGAGAGAGAGCCAGAGCTTCGATACAGGTCAAGTAATTACGTAATTAGTAATAGATCCCCAAGTAATGTGCTATTGCTATACGTCCCCAACCCTCTACACCTGGCCGATCCGTAGTGTCTCCCTAATAGGTCCTAAGTATTGTATTGTGGTCTTGGCCCTTTTGAAACTCCTCTTGGTGTGCATCCCCGGCCACATGCTCCCCGAAAATATTACGAGAACAATAACAAGAAACAGAGAGCAGTCGAGAGCGCTCAGCTCTTGATGGTGTCCCCGTCAGATTGGTTTTCGCGGGACACTTGTGATCATGACCTGCTGTATGGTTGCAGTCGAGGTACTTGGAGTTTGCCGACGAGCGCAAGGAAAACTCGCTTACTTCAGAGCGGATCCCCCTTGGTGAGCAACTGGCGGGGCTGACTACTTCGCTTCTCAGAAGGTTGTTGTCACAGCAGAATATTGAATCGTACATGTAGCTTACACGATTCGCCGAGACAGACCACATGCCAAATACGTTCAGCTGTGGCGTGCGCATCTCTTGCAGCCAACGCCGCGTTGAACTCGGGTAAGAGCTGTTGGCCGAGCTTCTGCTGAGTCCTTGCAGGAGCCAACTGGATTGAATCTTTGCTCTATGGCGGCAGCTAGACAGCACCACCATCCAGCAAGTTCTGCCCCGTTCAGCCAAGCGTCCCGTTCCTTGCCTTTCCTCGGCACAGCTTCCCGAGCCAAGTACCAACTCATGATTTCGAAATCACAGATAACTGTCGTTGCGATCGCCGGAACAGTCTAACAATTAGTTTAACCTCCATGCAACTTCCGCACGGTCACGAAACTGCGGACACCAACCGACGTTCTCGTCAAAGGCAGGCGTCCAGCTTCTTGGGCTTTGGTGCTGCTGCTCTTTCTGCTTTTTTCTGTGCTTTGGCCTTCTCATTGGTTGCCTGAGCAGGGAGGGCCCAGCACCAGTCGATTCCATCTCTCAGCTGGGGCGCACTGGCCTCGTCATTTTGCCGGTACAAGCCATACCTGGAAACGCGGCAGGGTGCATGTGCGAAAACCTTCCGTGGGCATTCAGAGCGTGATCCAACATTCTTCAAGAGTCATTCGCCGAGCTTCTCTCACTCAAAGTCTTGACCATCCATGTTTGTCTCTTCTACGCCCTTGTGAACTGTCCCCTTCCTGCGGTTTAAGCTGGACCACACCAAAATCAAGCACCCCCTTCATCCACGTTTGTGTGTCTGTCTCCTTCTTTCTTGGGGCTTGAGGGGTCGCCCCGGCTCTGTCCAGGCCCTACCAATGCAGTCTGTTGACGCCGCCACCTCGGGTCATGTTGACTTCTTTCTTGTTGTTCTTGTTCTTCTTAGTCGTTGGCTGTTCTTCCCTCGGCGAACTTCTTACAGTCACGAGAAAGAGAGTGGCCTTCTCGCCCTCAGCACACATCCGAACCCTTTTTCCAGCTGGCTGTTCGAACGGCAGGCAATTTAGCCTGCCGCCCCGGGGCTCTCAGCCATCCCTCGCTCCCGCACTGTTTGTCGCTAAGCGTGAGGTTAGCGCTGTGGCTCGCTTGCCTCCTTCTTCCCTAGCTTGAAGGGCCTAAGGACGGGTTTAACCAGCCAACCAACCTCGACTGGTGCCCGAATAAATCCAGAAGAATGGTCTCGAAGTAAGAAGGCGGAGTGCTTAGCTAGTTGTGACCTTGCTCGAATATTTCTTGGCTATGGTTGCAGTGATGTCCTGGCACTCGACATTTGATTACTCCCAGCCCAACAGACCCAGCAATCCCCAGCAAGAACAAACACTTGCGCAAGTCGGACGAAGAAAGCGTCTCGGTGCCCTGTGCAGCTGCGGCACAGAGCAAGGAGGGAGTGCTTCTGGTCGACATGCCTGGAGCGAGGGCGATCAGTTTGCAACCATGTGAGAGGGGATCACATTGAATTGATTGAGCGCCTGTGGCATGACAAAGAAGTTCGAGAGAGTGGGAGAGTGAGAGAGAAAGAGACAGACAGACAGACGGACAGACAGGGAGAGAAACGCGCAGACAGAGGCAAACAAGACAGTTAAACGGAGGCTGCTAACTGTTTAAATGCTTTTTTCCTAACAACCTCAGCGGAGCTGTAGCGCTAGGCCTAAGCCTTGCAAAGTCCTTGCCAACGTCGGCTAAAGTTTAGCGGGCCTCGCCTACGGCAGCGCCTACAGCACCACCGTCGCCCGTCGAAAACAAAATCGTGCGAGGGATGGACGTGCCATTCTGCAAGCGCCCTCGCATCACCCCACGCCAAGCAGCTCCTTTCACTGAGGTGGCTAGCTTTAAGCAAGGTGAGCGCCCTAGACAATCGGAGACCGCAATTACTACAAGCAACCCCGCCCTTGCAAGACACCCAAGCATGTCCGCCAGTACGGCTCCCCAGGAGCCGACGATGTAAGTCGGTTCTTCGTGGCCGGCTGGAGGGGCACTTGGCCGGAGGTTTGGGCAACTGGCTCTGAACAGCCTCTAACACCGCAACCAGGAAGGTCAGAAGCTTCTCAACTCGCCCGTCAACCCAATCATTGACAACACGATCACAAGGACGCACCAACTGTGAGGCACGCACTGTACTCAAACTGTGGGCCGCCTGATTGGCATGAAAAGCCCACATCCGATCAGCTCCATACTTGAGTAGAAAAGCCTCCTCGGACATGTGTGCCTTGACTTTGTGCACGATGAGCCTACGATCAGCCGAGCAATCGGCAATGTCCTTCCAGAGGTCGGGATGGGTCATGATTGTCCCCTGGCGACGAGTTAACACTTTTCTGGCACCACGCACAACATACTGAGCATCAGAAGCGAACTCAACATCACCCGAAGTGGCCTGCAAGCACAACCGCAGGGCAGCTGCTTCTCCATAGGGTACCGTTTGGCTGTGGTTGTCAACGTTGGCAACCATGGTGCCAACACAGCGCCACTCAGTGCGTTCGGCATCCCATTGGACTGCAACAACAGCATAGCTCACCTTCCGCAGGCGACGGTCTTTAGTAAAAGGCCCACCGGAAGCATCGCCAGCGAACCTCAGGCCTTCAGTGGGAACAGGGCGCCTAGTGAAGACTCCCGTGCATTCAAGGCACAGTTGCGGAAGGCTCAACGTGGACGTCCAACCCGCAGGAACAAGACAAGCTCGCCAGAAACTAGCCTGTTTGCCAGGCTCCCGAAGGAAAGGCTCCCAGCTGGGGCTGAAGGGGGCATCAACAATGTCACGCACTGGCTTACAATCAAGAAGCCAATGATGCAAGCTCATGGTCGTTCCGCACAGGGGACATGTATCAAACAGCATCGACAGCTTGGCCAAGTGACCTTGCAAGATTAAGCTGATGCTGTTAGCGCTGCGCTTCTCGCCTTTGTTGAGGAGCTTCTTGACAAGTCGTTTTGGCACAGTCAAATCAACACCGTTCGCAGCACCTTCAAAGAGGGAGGACGCACTGACTTTGCGCCACTGTTCTTCAGCGATGGAATCGGCTAATGCCTGCCAAGTAAAACTAAGCGCAAAGGGGCAGGCGTAGTCAACTTGCCATTCTCGGCCACGCGGATCCAACCAACGATCAAATGCAACAGGGTTCCAACCGTGATCAAGCAGCAAAGCCTGGAAAGCAGCCAAGGGACCCTTCACGACCTGCCAACGATGCCTAGCCCTACTGAGCACACGCAAGCTCTGTCGCCAAACCGTTTCAAGGAAGCTTCTCGTGCAGAGTTTAGCATTTCCGGCAAGTCGCATCCAAAGCTGTAGCTGCTGTTTTGCCAAGTAAAAGAGGGGGTCTTGATCCCGCTCCCAGTGCAGCGACATGCCTATGTGGACGTTTCCAAGACCAACACGACTCCCAGTAACTTTCGCAGCAGTGCAACGAAGTCGGTGGACAGCACTGGGCGAGGTACCTAGGTGCTGTTGGCCCCAAATTTGGGCCGGGAACACGTTGGTGCGATACAACCGCTGGCGAGATCCACGCCCAAACAACCGCAATCGGAACAAGCGCTTGCCGGCTTTAGCCAGCCGTGACTTTTGGGCCGGTAGCCTGCGCTTCCGGGCTAGGGTGCAATCCAATCCGAGATCTTTCATCACGTCATAAACTTGCGGAGTCTCCTCTGGCAGTTTCCGGAGCAGCCGCCGTAATTCAGCACGGAGCTTTTTGCTGCTAACAACGAAACCACTTTTCTCAACAGACATGCTCAAGCCGAGCGGCTGCAAGCTGGCGACAAAGTCTCGATAGCAACACACCATGTGACGAGCAGCAGTTTTGCAACAACGGTTCGCGGTATCCAAACCAATGTCATCGACCCAAGTGGTTATTTCATGCGGACGTTGTCGCAGGGTCAGGTCACGAAGCATTTCCCAAAGATACATCTTAGCCATCGTGGTCGCATGCGGGCACCCAGCAATAATACCCCGACAAGGGTGCAGAGGGTCACTGCAAATTTCATCGGCAACCAGCACTCTCGGTGCGGCGTAAAAAAGGAGGCAGTGATGAAGTACCAACGGTGGGAACCCCAGGTCAAGAGCCTTAGAGGCTAAGACACTCAAGTCAATAGCATCATAAAAGTGCTGCAGATCAGATAAGAAAGTCGCCATGTGCATGCCTGCGACACCAAGGATTTCGGCTTTGAGCTGGCGCTTGGAAGCAGCATCGAAAACAGTGGATCCCGCAACAGCATGATCTCAAGTCGCTTCAACGCCTTTCTCTTTTTGCCAGCGCTGCACAAGGTAACGACGCATCTTGCACCAAGCGCGAAAGAAGATCGACAGCAATCCTATCGGTCTTTCAGCTTTCAGGGTCTTGGGCAGGCAAGCCACAAGCACGCAGAGCATTTGTTGGGGCCACTCACCTGTATGCTCAATCCGACCATATAGCCATGCCAATGCCGAAAACGCCTCAATGGGTAAAGACTGCAAATCTTCGAAATGGAAGCCCTCAAGGCCAGGACGCTTCCTGGCCATGTCATAAAAAGTAATGCTGATCTGCCGACTGGACAAGGGTTTCAACTGGGCAGCCTGCTCACTCGCTAACTTTTTGAGGTGCTCGAGCTGCTCCTTTGGGAGGTGGTCCCCTTGTCTTTCTCCCCAAAGGTCAGCCCAGTACTTGCGCCTAGCGGGAGCCTGGTCCGTGAGAGGCAGCCGCTCGTAAGGCCGCAGGGGCACCTGGTCTGACTTCTTCAGATAGCGGTGAGCCTCCTTGGCACTCCCAAGCACAGCCCGAGTAGCCCAATTGCGTATGGACTCACGCTCATCCTTCAAGGACTTTTGTTGCGCAGCCTTGGCAATAGTTTCAATTTGCTTATGCGCGTCATGTCGGAGCTGCGGGCTTGCAGAAGGCCAATTCGACACAACCGCTTGGAGACTGCTAGCGGGAAAACGACCTTCATGCGGCAACCAATGCACGGTGATCAAGGGCGTCATGCCAACAAGCCGATCAAACACCTCCGCAGCCTGGCCAGTCCACCGGTCTTTAGCAAGGGCGGAATTAAGATAACCGCACCATCTAGCAAGGATCATCCAAAACCCCACGATGCTATCTTTCCAAACCTGGCCTTTGGTCGCAACGCTCACCTTGGGCTTCTGCGTGAAATTCAGAATGCACCCTCTGCCCGTCTGTGCAGGCTCAATTTGGGTGGCTTGCAGGTAACTCTCCGCCTGCTTGGCCCATGAAGCGAATTCGCGACTAAGCTCGCAAGAGCTGCACGAAGGTTGGTTCACTCCAGGCAACCACTCCAAATCCACTTCTCGCTCAGCATAAGCTGACCACGGAAGGGTTGGTCCTTGGCATTGTACAATGGGCTTGTACCTAGTTAAAGCTGGGAGCAACTGCTGCCCAAACTCCATGGAAGCACTCACCTGCAGCAGGAAATGTGGTGACCACGGCACTTCCTTGTCGGCCTCGATCCTACAAGACCCATGCAGTCTGTTGTCAAGGATGGCGAAATCAATCTCACGACCACCTAGAAGAGTAGGACCTCCAGTCATGAGCAGCTCTCCCTGCAGAAGCCTAGGAAGTCCAAGGCTAACAACATCCTCCGGCGTGGCGTTCCAATCGCCAATGGCAATCCAAGCACAACTCAATGCACGCACAGCGGCCATGAGCTCATGCAGAACATCACTGTTGGGCGGGTGATACAGCGGGGTGTCGACTTTCAAGTACACCACGAAAATGGCAAGGTCATGCCCGTGCAGTCGCAGAAATACCTGTGTCCAGCCCGCCCCCTGCACCTGACAGCTCAAGCCTCCGGTATGGTCCAGATGGCGCCGCACCAGGATGGCCGTGCCACCGCTAGTGCCGCCTTTACTGGTGTCCATGGCCGCCTGCCCATGCAGCGTCCAACCACTTTGGTGGAAATCAGCCCTGAGTCTCTCAAGACTGGGAGGCCGCAAATGGTGTTCCGCAACCATCTGGACTTTGACCCTTTCGTCAGCCAGTTTGAAATACTGCACAGCTTTACTGCTGAGACTGGTGACATTGGCAAACCAAATACTCCAAGTGTCAGTTCCAACTGCTTCTGCAGACTGGGACTGGCTTGCTACGAGTGGTCGAGGGCCCGTCCGATGCCCCAGACGCCCAGACCTCCTGGTGCTGTGACAGGCCGCAAGAAGTCGGCTCAAGTTTTCTGGACTGGGTTGGAGGAGCAACCTCATGCACCGGGATTGCACGTCAGGCCTAGAAGGGGCGCCCAGCAGCCCCCGACCCAGTTGCCAAGCCAAGCTGAACTGGGTCCAAAATTGTGCGGTGTTTGGTCGCTCCAGGGGCCTGCTACCCCAATCGGATACCGCCCAAAGGCGCATCATAGTCGTCCGGATCCGAGAAGTCCATTCGACGCTTCTTCCTGTGCAAGTCCGCCTGGGCGCACCGCCGAAGAAGCGTCTCCAAGAGCTGCTTCTGATCCTCCGTTTGAAGAGCCCCCTGCAGCTCCTTAACCTGATCCTGAAGTTCGGCATCAACAACCATGTCATCCGGTTCCCCTGGCCTGTGCCCGTATGGCTCGAGCTGCCTCGCAACAATCTGCTCGGAATATTGTTTGGTGAGCTCATCCATTTTCTCCTGCGCGTTAACCAAGTCCTCCTGGATTTTCCGCAACTGGGCTTCATGCTTTTCCAACTGCACCCTAGCCTGGTTAACACGTTGCTCTCCTTGGAGTTTCTTCTGACCGAGATCCCGCAGTACACCGGCTTGGGCTTTGAAGGCTTTTGCCAACACTGCATCGGGGTCGTCGGGCTGGGCTGTGTCCTGGCCGGCCGCAGGCCGAAGCATCTGCTGGAGGGGCTCAACGGCTCTTTGGAGTTCATCAGCTTTGTCCCCTCCCACTTTGCAGACTGCATCCAAGACTTCAAGCAACAAGGTTCGATAGGTGTCAGGGAGTTGTGACTGGCAGTCCTCCCCACGTGATGCGGCATCCTGGCCCTTGAACCGTGGTTTTGTCCCTGGCTGCTCAGACCAAGTGGCATCGTGCTGCCTGCGGTGCGGCTGGGGCGTCCATCCCCATGCATTGTATGCAGCTTTTCTTGTGACTTGCCGTGCACCTCGCCCCGCCCAACTGTGACGCCCTCCCATGAAGGGCTGTCCACACTGACACACTGGATGGGTTGGAAGGCGATCAGTGAACAACCAAGAATTACAAGCCGCACACACCACATAGCTACGCTGGGCCATTGGCCCTTTGACACCTACCCTGTCTTGCTAGATTCGGGCGCTTGAGCTCTCTTGAGCCAAAATGGCTCTGTTTACTGTTTAAATGCTTTCAGTGAAGTCGGAGATCCAGTTCTTCTTTGCAAGTTGCCCGATTAGGAAGGCTCGAAGCAAAGGATGGTTCAATGAGATCACCTCTACGCATCTTTCAAAGGTGCTGTCGCGACTTCTCCAGGAGCTTGCCGATGTCATTCCTGCTGTCGGCCACTTCCTGCTCTGCGCCAGTGCTCGCTCCCAAGACCACTGCGGAAATAGCACGAAAGCTTGCGGACAGACGGGACCGAAAGATTGAGAGTCCTGGTATTTCCTGCTTCAGTGGGCGAGCATAACGCAACACAACCGGATCATAGTCTTACTGCTACGACTGGCTGCGAGTTGGCTCCCAACACACAAACCATAAGACTGTGTTGACACTCGATACTGCCTCGCAGTGTGCCGCGAAAGCGCACTGTCTAGGCAAACATCACCGCAACCCAAGGGAATCAGCATCCGCACACCCTGTTACAGTAGTCGCTGCATCTCCAGCGGCACAGACGGTACAAGTGCCCGGCCGCACCTTTGCATCCAATGCCAGCATGCTCTTCATGCGAGCCTGCAGCATGCAAACACCACAAAAATTAAGACATCTTTGCTCGCCGACACCTCCCCGGCCGGGCACCAGAGTCAAACAGTTACCAGAGTCAAGAACATTTTCCAAAAGCCCCCCCCGCTTATAAGGCAGAGTTTCTGTGAGACAGTCTGCAGCTCTGCCGGTCCCCGGTCCTCGTCCACTGTTGGATTTGGTCGCGACATGTCCACCGGCGGGGCCTCGGGCTCGTCGCGCACCTGCCTCCAAACACGGGCCCTTGACCGTTCCCGTGACTTGCACAGACCGGCTGCCGTGCCTCCTGCCCCGGATCCTTGACACACCGAGGCAGACCTCGGTGGCGTTTGCTCGTGAGATCTTGTGAGACTCTCCACTCCGCACGAAAGTCCCGCCAATAGCCCAGGTGCAGCCCCGAAGAATAGAGCTGGCAATGGCACGGCCAGTAGAAGACTCAGCTCGGAGTCCCAGCTCCGTTCCGGGTTCTCCTGGCAGCCGTGGCAGAAAGAAAGACATCGGAGTGTGTTCGATTTTCGCAACGAAAGCAGCTGTCCTCTGGCCGGTTCACGAACTGAAACCTCGTAAAGAGATCCAAGCGTCCAAGTGCATGTCGGCCCTTCTCTTCCCACTGAGCTCTCTGCTCGCGGCTCGTGGCCACGCGGATCACACCCGCAGGAACAGTGAACGGTCCATCCTCGCCACAGCTTCCGGCGGTGACGTTGCCGCACCAGCCTCAAGCAAACAATCAGCCTCCAGATCCCTTTCCCCTCCCTCCCAGAGAAGAAACGATGACCCAGACTTGAGCCATGCCCGTGAACCCCCTTGTCATCTCGCCAGAGGAGCATAGCATGTAGTGTCCCGGGGCTGCACGCATCAGACCCGGGCCCCAGGAGAAGGTGCGACCTCCATTGGTCGCCTGAGATTTGGGGGCAACTTGGCACAGTACAAGCTGCAAGCAGGCTGCAAGCCTCCTCAAAATGTTCACAGCTCTGTGCCGCACTGACGAGGGACTGGGTTTCGGAGAGGCTCATGTCCATGCAGTGCCCATGCTGTCGTTGCTATCAGTTACTGCCGTTGCTGCAGATTTTAGCTAAATGCGAGCCTCAAAACCCAGCCCCTTTGTTGCTGGCATTTCTCTAGGACAACTCTCAACCAAGAGGTGCATCCGGATGGCTGGCAGGGTCACGCCGTTGCGGGGGAAGCCCGTTTGAGGCGTCAGGCTAGCAGCTTTGCAGTCGGTGCCATCTGGGACCTTGACTAGCTGAAAGGGCAACCAGCAAAAGGATGAAGCAACATTTGGGTCAAGAAGCTGCCAGGAGCCGGTCCCCGTCCTGCAGGGTTGTGCCCTCCATGTCCCGGATCTCGCAGGGTTGCCACTCGAAGCAGCGGTAGACAAAGTCCGGGACTGGGCCGCCAAGCTCCAAGCGACCCAGCCGCACAGTGAAGTCCCGTGGATACTGGCACGTGCTCTCGGCTGCGCACCAGCAGACTAGGTACGTACCAGACTGCACCGACGCGGGCAGGAGGAACTTCCCACCGTCCTCGTATGTTGCGATGGACATCGAGCCTTCCATGAATGTCGTAGCCTCCTCGAGCCCCTCCCCGCACTTGGTCAGCAACATCACCTTGTCGTTGTTGCTGAGGCCTTCGCCTTGGACCCCCGAGATGTTGCAAAGGCGCCCGAGTTCGCAGAAGAAAAGGTCCGGCGAGAACGTTGGCCACTTGACCTGCAACAACACGAGCAGCCGGTAGCCGGTAGCCGCTAGCAGTCAGCAGCTGCTAGCAGCCAGCAATCTTCGATTCTTAAGATGCTCTTCGTGAACCCGATTCCCGCCTGCAGAATTCCTGCATAGGCCATGAAATGCGTCGGAAGAATGCAGTTCTGCCCTTCGCTGCACCAGCAGAGTCGATAGACCCCGGGGTTTGCCGTCACACGCTCCTTGCCAGGTGCAAGAACAGAAGCTCTTCGGCCACTCTAGATGACTCTAGGCTCAGCCGTGGCTCCGGGCCCCATGCAAAGTGGGAGCCGTCTGCCGAAGGGATCGACTGCCCATAGCGAGGCATGCCTTCACAGCACAGCATCGCTGAAGCTTGAAAAGGCCAAGTGTCGACTTGAATCGTAAGGACACCAATGTTCCACCAGCTTCCACTGCTACATGCACTGGTACCGACAGGGCGTGTCGCGCCCGTGCAACAGGACAACATATTCTCTGTCCCGTCCCAACACGCACAAACTGAACTTCTGGAGACTGCACCGGCCTACGGGGCTTTCGGTTCCGCATTCTCCTGAAGCGACCGCGAGCTGCGAGGCAGGCGGCATGGTACCTGGCCATGCGTGCTATGCCTATGAATCCGCACGAATCAGACAGCAGGTCGCAAGCCCCCTGAAAGCCGTCCTTGAAAATTCTCGATCTCGCACTGCTGCATCCGAACGCAGCGGTACCGCTGTCCGGCTAAAGGAAGAACCGCGGGCCCGGAGATGATCAGCCGCCCAATCGGAACCAGGAAGTCCTGTGGTGTCCCATCTTGCAACAATGGAGGAGGTGGAATCGGTGCTACTAGTATCGTGCGAGCCAGGGCACTTCTGGCGAGTGGCAACCTTAGAGAGCAGCATTTCTCTTTCCTGGGAGCGGCTAGCAGTAGCCCGTTGCCTTGCAGAGTGGAGTCGGCACCGCACCAGCACAGCAAGTAGGTGCCTGGAGCCGAGTCCATTCAGGGATCGGGAATCCTTAGCCCAGCCCTGCCCCAAGCTGACCTGAGAATGACCAGGTCGGGCCGCCCCAGTCTGCATAGCCAACCTTCACAGCTTTCGACACACGAGGCCCTTAGGCCCTAGGCTCGGGCGAAATGACAAGCGGCCTTGGATGACGGTCGCGACATGCCGAAGTTGGGGAAGCCATAGACACCACGATTCGTGTCATTCATGCCGGGCCGATTGGGAGCACCGGGTGCACCTGGCGCAGGTCGGGTTCAGAGCAGCGGCTTTCAACTTTCAACACTCCCCTTGTTTAAAATTCCTTGCGCTTCCGGCATAGAGCTATCCTGCCAACCCTCCTATGTAGGTACACGAATTGTGTCCGGGGGGCCGAACTCCGTCAGCATCAACTCCGAGAGAGCCGGCCCATGCCTCTCAATGCTCCCCACGTCCTAGACCCGTACTTTCCAGTTCTTGTTAGCTGAGCTGCGTCATCCACCCTGCATTCATCCACGGTGGCCCGAGCATCTCCGCACCTTGCATCGTATCCAATCTCGCTCCGATTCGACCCCATGGCCCATTTAGCCGACTCTACTGGTAGCGCATTGCAGTCAGAAACGCTGGAGCTGATACAACCGCGACCGTACGTCTGCTACTTGCCGGTCTGCAAGACTCCCGCCACTCCTCGCCTTGACGCCAGCCAACTGGAGGGTGGGCTGCTTCACCACAAACCTTCAGCGCCAATACGCGGTCTCCACCTGCTTTGAAGGTTAAGCAAGGCCCAGGGATCAAGTACAGGCAAACCGCTGGCTGCAAGAGTCTTCAAAGCCAGAAAATGCTGACGGCCTTGTAAACCTGTGCCAAGAATCTGCGGAATGATGCCTCGGCTCAACACGCTTTTCGAATCCAAACACAGGCGATCGGCATATGTAGTAGGCAATCAAGAGTATTCAGTCCGATTTGTCAACCTGTGGCCAAGTCACAGTCCACCCCAAGTCGGCATAAAGAGTCTTCCTAAGCTGCACAACGGACGAAATCTCACGGACAGCTGATGATAGCAAGTAAGAACACATGATCAAAACATCAGGATCATGCTAGTCAACGTCGACTTTTTACTCAAGCTGCCTGTCCCCGGGGGCCCACAACTATGAGATGTCCAGCTGGCGAAAGAAACTTCCCACCGTCCTGACTGCAGGTTGGTGAAAACAAGTCCTGACGCAATCTGACAGTACAGCTGAGCCTTGCCTCGTCTCGCACGGGTGGACAAGGTGGTGGAATGATGCCGTCTGGCTGTCGGTAGTCTTTGCCAGGGACCAGAATGGTTCCTGCACAGCGGGCACTGAGTCGGACCAAGCTTGAAATTTACATGGAGCCCCCAGGCAGTCCGACTGCTCGTGGACCACACCAGCATAAGTTGTAGCGTCCCCCTGGGGCAATCAGCGGCACGCCCATGAAATCGTACTGGCGACGGTCCTCGAAACGCAATGAAACAAGCCCGCCAATCTTTTCGCGCGCTGAACCCAGCCTTGTCGTACGGATCTGACACACCAGAGTTGGGGAAATCCAACAGGCCTTTCACAGTATGTGCAGCACTCGCACTTTTCAGCAAGACTGCGCCCGACAACCATGCATGAGGTCGGCTCATAATGCCAACTTGCCAGGCTGGAAAGGCGAGGATTCGAACAGGTTTACAGAAGCGGGAAAAGGATCCCTTTTGTGCATAGGCCCTGCAGGCCTCAAACTCATCACACCTTCAGGAGCCCTGTGGAAGCACTTGGGCAAAAAGGGCGACCTTATCATGGGATTTGCTCTACCGGCCTGGTGGATCAGCCAGGCTGGCCCGCTGCCATCTGCAGCCGGCGGGATCGTCAGGCAGCACCACGAGGCGAGAACCTGCAATGTTCCGCAAGCATCTGGATGAGAGGGGAACCGAAAATGATCCGTTTCCCACGCGCCCGCACCTTCCTCGATGGCTTGGCCCTGGAAGTTGGGCACGTGGCATGGCATCCCCGCAATACAGCGGACTTCCCTTTCAGATTGGTGTACCGTGGGGCCGCTGAAGTGCAGAGGTCCGATTCGCACCGAAAAATCAGCCTCTGTGGTGCAGGACGTCTCGGTGCCGTTGCACCAGCAGAGGTCGTAGGTGGCACCGAAAGCAATCACCAAGTCCTCGCCGAAGCTAAAGGCTGCGCCATCCAGCAAGTTTGTCGCCAGGCCGCCATTTGGAAAGCCAGGAACTCCAGGCCCTGTCCCAGCCTGCGTGCGGTACGTGCAGACTTTGTAAGACATAACGAGGTTGGGAAACACTGCAGAGGCCATCTCGTCATCGCACAGCCCCGGGTCCACATAGCACCAGGCACCCAAAGGATCACGTGCGTCGGCGATGCCAACCCCTGCTTGCACTGTTGGATCCTGCGAGATCTCAGAGCACATCGCGCCTTTACTGAGTGGGTCCGCTACGCCGTTGCATCGACACCTCTCGGGGCATCCGTCTGCTCGCACCAATAGTCCGTCTTCAGCCGTCAGCCGCTGCCCCAGCAGACCAGTGACATTACAGGTGTAGCCGGACACACAGGACCAGCCCAAATCCTGACAGGCACACAGTCCCTTGGAGAAGGAAACATGCCAACTTCTGCACATCTCGGCCGGAACACACGGTGCAGCAGCCAGCACGGCTTAAATGCGGACTCAGCGTCATCGAAGAAGGGACCTTCAGCTATGAACCTCGTTCGTGTGTTGAGGATGGACTCGGCATCCATGCCGAAGCGAGGGGCTGTGTCCACACCGGTCTCTGACGGCGGCAAATACGTCTCTGAATAACAATATACCTTGTTTGGTGACATAAATCGTGCAGACTGACTGTCTAATTGGGCTCCAGACGATGCAGACTGGAACAGCTTAACAACAGGTCGAGGCACGTCGTAATTCCTGCCCGGTGTGAGCTCGAGAATGGTGATCGAGACAAGGCCACCAGGCTCGGCTTCGAAGTACGTGGTCTGGTAAGGCGAAGCCATGAGCTGCCTCAGTCATGCCGCAAGTCCCACGACCAGATTGAGGAGCAAAATCTCTCAAGGACATTCTGTGACTTCAGGGTTGGTCATTGATTGCACTTCTTGTGCATCCGTCCGCGTCCCCGAAGCTCGCCGAGATGCGCCCTTGAAGGCTGTGCAGGGCGCTGCGTTGTCGGTCGAAGTGCCCAGGGAATGGCCTGGTGGCTACGATGTCTCACAGAAGCATGGCAAAATTTCTCAGCATTCATGCTTGACAGCTGGATTCGAGGAGGGTCCTCACAGTAGACGTCCGCTGGTCCCTTGCTCAGGCGCACCAAGATCTTGGCTACTCAGGGTTGCTGCGCTCAAGCCACACGAAACGGCAGGCCGAGAGACTGCAGCCGTGTAGTACGATGTCGTGATGCTCATGACCGTGCTGATGGGGAAAGGCACCAGCAGCTCCTGAAAGGAAGCAATCCGCAGCACATCATGCATCATCCGCAGAGGCCACAGGCCCAGGCGTCTTGTTACCTCAGGTACCCTCCACCTAATCTCCTGTGCAGTCCCAAACCACCCCCTTGCCCCGTTCCTTTTTCCTGATTTGTAGGCCTCCCCCCTCCCGCACCCCTTTCCCCCCCCCCTCCCCCCCCTCCCCCCCTCTCCTCCCTCTCCCCCCTCCCCCAGTGAGGCGGGAAGATGGCGTTCCCGCACTCGCCAACCATTTAAAGGCCCCCTAGCATGGTGTATATTGTACGACATGCACTGCCCCCTCGCCCTGCCGCTAGAGCCGAGGCGGGCGGCGCAGCCTTAAAATTAAGAATCATTCACGAACGAGACTCGCAGCTCCACAAACGTTGAGGTTCGCCATTTTCAGGCGAGGTTTTTTTAGCACTCGCGCTCGACTGCCGCAGTCGCGGGTTTGGGGTGAACCTAGATTCAGGCGGGGTTACAACCTAGTCTCCCAAGCAGATCAAAAAGCGCAACCCAAAACCGTCGACACTGAAGCCGACAGTCCCAAACTCTGCTCCTGCCCTCCCTCATCGTTCTGAAAGTCATTGAACTCAGCCGTGCACCAAACCTCGTACGATGTGTTCCTGGGCTGCCAACCATCACTTTTCCGACAGGCTTCATCGTTCAATAACCACTAGATTCGCAGACCAGATGCCGGTCCAGTTCGGGGAAGGAGACGGCCGACACATCCTGGATGGTGATCACCTGAGGGGGCACGGTCCTAGAGGAACATCCATTCACACAACCTTGACACGGCCGGCTCAAATTCAGATGTCTCCTCATCTCAGCTCTTTGACTGGTGTTGTCTCCACTCTTGGAAGCATCCGCTGCAAGGGCGGGACGTGGGAGCACTCACGGAAGCAGTGCACATGACAACCCGCCTTTGTTCTTGCCGCTGCTTCCTGCAGCACGGCCGCTGCCGGCACGCCAAATTCGCGTGCATTCGCAGACAGGAAGTTTCCCTTGGAATCAGAACCAATTGAACTTGCACCACTAATCTAAAATCAAGGTGGAAGCATGTTTACGGTCGAATGGCACTGGCACAGTTGAGCTTAAGACCAAAGGCCCTGCAATTTATCCACTAAGTCCTTCGACTATGACTGAAGTATGCACGAGAAACTGGGGGGCTTAGCCAAGGTTCGCACCAAAGGTACCCCACGTCTATGAGCTGAGTCGTCACCTTTGCATGGCAAGCTTTGTGTCAGCAAGGAGAAAGAAATAAAACAAGCCCAGGCACTGAAATAGTGTCACCGAGTAATTCGGCCTCGCGCGTGATTCTCATGGAGCTGATCGTCACGGGAACTTCCTCGGTGGAAATCTCGCGCCTTGTAAGGTCCACTTGGCTTTGGGTGCTCTCTGCCCCGGTGTCTGACTCGGCCATGCAAGCCACGATGTGAGGCGTTGTCGGCTGAAGATTCGCGATCGTGATGGCAATCGAGTTCGATGTGGATGTGAGAATGCCGAAATAGTTGGCGGCCCGGACCGTAGCAGGTGAGATGGTGGGAGGGAAGCTGGCATTCTGCATAAAAGCACTGCAGAAAAGCCGGCCTGTTGAACTGGCACCAACCACAACGCCAATGGTTTCCGTCCCAGCCCAACCACCTCGAACGTAGATGCTGGGAGGCAAAGTATTTCCGCAATCGAAGCAGCCTTCCGATCGCTCTGAAAAAACTTGCGTAGAGATCATCGTCCATGTGGAATGGTTCCCGGACGCGGGATCTTCGACGGAGCAGTACACGTTGTAGACGGTGGCAGGGAAAAGCAAGCCACTGACGGTCACAGTGTGTGGCGGCCGAATCAAAACTCTGTACTTTTGGATGAAGCTTGCCAGCAAAGAGGGGTCCTGCCTAAAAGACGAGTTGTAGGTGCCATTGATGAGTTTGCAGTTGGTGCCTGTCTGCGTGTGTATACCTGCTGAGTAATACTCCAAGGCGACGCACTCATCGTAAAGGAGGCATTGGGCTTCACAGCCTTCCTCGTCCTCGACAGACAATCTGTAGAGCACAGGTGCATCGAGCTCTCGAGATGTGAACTCGACACCGTCGATCAGGTAGAAGACATACATTTCCCCTGCTAGGTCCAGCAAGCCTGAACCCCACCGCTTGAGCTCGTTGTGGGTTGGCGAGCGAAGCTGATACCGTGCGTCAATGATACCGCAATATGCATCTGCATTTCGATCCACGGTGATCGTCATCTTCGTCACGGAGGTTGAGAGCTCGACGGCAGACACGTTCAAAGTCCTGAGTACTATCAAGAGAGTTAGCAGGTAGCGCCACACAGAAAGTCTTGACTCGACTGTCACGCCACGGCTCGGCACATCGGTACTTGCTCGGGCGACTTCAGCAGCTGGCAGATTGCTCGGTGGAGCGTCTCCTCGCAGGAGAGACACTTACAGGAAGCTAATCGAAGCACCAAAACCTGACGACCGACATTATTGACCTGAGCCTGCATGAGGCTATCGGGAGGGTTCAAATCCAGCTATGCTGTTTCTCTCTCCGCCTTTCGACGGCGATTTTGCTCGCCATGCACGATCCGTCCCATCGCCCCGACCCGTAGCCAACTAAGGAAGAAGGAAAAGAACGCACAGTAAACACTGTCATGAACCTTTGCTGTCCTCACGTGAATGCATCTATCACCCTCCCTCCTCTTCAGGCACAACCCCGAGCAAGGGCTGGCGGCTAGGTAAGATTAACTGGCCAGGGTCCTGGGATCCGGTAGCGGCAGTTGAAGTTGCGAGGGCCAGAAATGTTCCTGCAGCCGTCGCTTCTTTCAAGAGCGAACATACGGTGCAGGTACTGGAAGGATTAGAATCCAGAAGAAGGCCGAATCTGCCCAAGAGGAAAATGTCGTCTCGCTGCGCTTATATTGCGACACATCCGAGTCACACGAAGGTGGAAGGGTTGAGGCCAATCCACTTGGCATTGAGGCGGCCCCAGATGTCGAAAGGATCCCGCCAAGGGCAGCAGCCTTCTTGTTGCCTCTCACGGTTCGCAATTGTAATCGAGCAGAGAGGGTGCGATCTACATTGGAATTAAGAGGTCGAGAGGGTGGAATCAGCCAAACAACAAGGACAACGGAGTGGAGGCCATATCAAAGTGTTATAGTGGACATCAAGGACTGCCCTTGAGCATTCCTCTTCAGCAAACC